CAATAACGCACAAAGGTGCGACAATCGCAAGGGCGATATATAAGCGTTTTTAACGACTACGTGCTCGCAAGCACCGTAGAGCCATAGAACAAAACGAACTAGGATGGCTGCGAAAACGTAAAAAATGTCACACAAGGACGATAATAACTACGCGAGTCACAAGATTAACTCACGTAAGTATCCAACGTAGTGACGAATCCCTCGCACAACCGGTGGTGGCAGCGCGGTGGCGCTATCAGTCACAACAAAATCTAAGAAAAACGCCCTCTTGTGATGCGTATCCAACACTTTTGGTATAATCCATCAACTTCTTAAAATTAAATACTATTTACAGATTTGCATCGAAGCGTTATTTATGATAGTTGTTAAAAATTTTAAGAAAAGTGAATTTTATGGAATTAAATGTAATAAAATTTTTAACATATTTTTTGTAGTTTGAATAAATATAGTATTGGTTTTAATAAATCTAATTTCACCTTATTTATGATATTTTATTGTTTTTAGGCAACTATCTTAAGATGACTGATGAAGATAATATATACCGTCAATGAAAATAAAAAATTACCAATATACAAACAAAAAATAAGTGGTACAATTTCGTCATGTTTTAGATATAAAAAGTCTACTTCGTAATTTAACTGACTTACTTGGTATAAATTTAATACAATTTTAAAAAATGATATAATAAAACACTTTTATAACTTCTTTTAATTTTCAAATAATATCGACGAATTTTAAATATTATGTTATGCTGTAACTATTATATTTGTATTTTAATGATATCACTACCAGCTTTTATATTATCAAATTTAGTGATTCGATGTTTAAACTAATTATGAAAAAAAAATTTCATTTCGTCAAAGGTAAGTTTTAAAATTACAATTAGTAATGAAAATATACAGAGCCCCTCGTCCTGCGCCACCTTCCTAACCGATCACAGCACTACGTGTATATGATTGATCTACACCGCGTGACAAACCTCATGGTACAAAGTCCGGTAAATGCCGACTTCGCCCACAAGAATGCGTAGGTCACATTCGTGACACCTTGTCACGCGCAACGTTCAAGGGCTCGCTGATTTTTTTCAGCAAATTGTTAATAAACTACGCTATTGGAAACTGGTTAATTAGTTTGATTTCGTAAATTAATCTTTTATTTCCTTTTTTGTGAGCTGTACTTGTTTACAAATGAGAATAAACGGTTCTACGCCAATTTTCAATCTTGAAATATTGTGTCGCATACATTTATTACGTAACATTTTCACACGGAGTACCTATCAGAATGAAAATCTAATCATTGAGATGGAATCGAAAAATTATAAAGATTTATTTGACAGATAAATTAAAATCATTATATTTGAATGAATGTGATAAATATCGGAGAGAATAATAAGAACACAGCTCAACATTTTCATTTTCTATTTTTTAGCTTTAATGGTCAAGAATACTAATTTTTAAGTTAAGAGAATTTCATTAATAAAAGTATACTAGTTTCAACAAGGGAGTCTTACGAAGAATTAATTTAACATTAAATAGCATAGAATTGTCAATTTTATTTCACCTGTCTTGCAAAATAATTTTTTTTTTAATTTTGTCACTATTCTTGTTAATAAACAAAGATGCTAACTACGATGCGAAGCTGAGAAGATATTAATTTTACTATGATGTGTTTTTGGGGGGGAGGGGGTTGTGTCTGTTACCACTTAATCTCAGTTCTCACTGGACTGATTTTGATGAAAAATACGTCAAAAGATCACAAAGTATATCTAGTTAAAGACCTAACTCTTAAAAATTAAAAAAATTCCCTCGTTCCCATAAATAGGGAAATCCCCCAAAAAATTATAAATTTAAAAATCTGCAATTTACGACATTTTTAAAATTTTTTTACTTAAAACTGCCATAACTTTTTTAAAAATGAACAAATCAATATAATTTCTTTTTAATGATCCATGAGATATTTATCTATCTTATCGTTTATTTTTTTTTATAAATTGAGCCCATTACCTGGTTATGGGGGGGTTAAAAATAGAAACTTTTTTACAAAAACTAACTTTTTCAACTCAACTTTTGAATAAGTTTCGGAAATACTAACACTTTTATTCATATCTTATATTAAAGTTAATTTAATATACTTTAATTAAAAAAAAAAATTTGATATCTGGATATGTGTTCATTGTAAAATTGACTACTGTATTCAATAATATGTTATTTTTGTGATAAAATTCTTAAAATTATATTTTACATTTTTTAACTTTATGTTGCTAATACTTTTTATATGTTAAATACTATATATATTCTTCTTTCATTCAACATACTTTTTTTTTAAATTGTACCATTTTCCTTTATATAAGGGGGTTCAAACCTTTAAAATGTGTAGAGAAAGTAGAACTTTTTCAACTTAATTTTTGAAAATGTTCTGGAAAACTGGCACTTTTATATGTACTTTAAATTGTAAGTTACGTAATGTACTTCATTTTTAAAAAAAAATTTAACCCTTGTACTTGTTTTTATGATAAAAATTACTACCATATTTGAAATTATGCTATTTCTGTGTTAAAATTCTCAATTTTGCAATTTTTTTATATTTTAAAATAACTTACATGGGAAGTACATAGATTTTCATAAATATTATATAAATCTAGTTGACATAGCATAGAAAGTTAAACTTATTTAATTTTTTTTTGCTTTTTCTAAGTCGAGAAAAGTAAAGAACTAGCTTAAATTGTTTTTTTTTTTTTATCAACAGAAACAACGTAGGGTTGCAGAGTCGGTAACACTTGTGTCTTACGCGCTTGTGGTAAAAAGCTTAAACATGTCTATGGCTATGAATTGTTAGCATTTTTTTCTGAATCCTTTTTACGTTAGAAATAAATTTTCATGTCATTTGATTTTTATCTTATAAGGATTTAATAATTTCAATAAACATCAAGGATTCCATCACTATAGTCTCCCCTCTAAGAAGAAATTTCTTATTCATATCAAAAATTATTTCACTATATGTTTTTTTTTGTGACTATCATTTATTTTCTCAACTCACACTTGGCCTACTTTTTTTAATGACAAGTTAAATAATTACAATTCCTATTTAGTTGAAGATTTTACACTCAAAAATTAAATACAAATTCCACTATATCAATTAAAAAGTTACTAAACCCACATTTTCCATGTAGATGATTAAAATGATAATAATTTATTAAAATTTCTAATATTTTCAAAGTATTTATTGACGAATTAAGTTTGATATGATAATAGGTTTCAACTACAAAATTAAATCATTTTACTTTGTAATTCATTAAGTTTTTTCCAAACATTCTGATAGTTGTCATAAGTCAATATATTAGATTTATCTCCTTTATAATCATTGGCAACGTTTTCTCTCATTTCTGAAACGAAATAAAATAATATTTTTAATATAAATACACAAAGGCAAAATTAGATATGTTTTAATAAATAATGTAGGAGTTATCCGAAATAAGGAGGTGAACATAAGGATTATATGGTCCATTAGAACAATGTTTTTAATATTTTTAAATTGTATGGCGTAACAAGTACTCTAATAAAAATTTTTTTTTTTCTAAATTCATTTTTTTACTCTAAAAATACTAAATTTGATAAGTTATCCTGACCAAGGGGTAAGTTCACATTTTAGTAATGTATTTAACGAATAAAATTAAGTATAAAAAAATCATCCCATTTTAGTTGTAGTTTCTGTTTTAGTTTTAAAATACATTTTATGAATTAATTACACATTGTAACATAAACACTTTTTATATGTCCTTTATTTTTGAAACCAATTGCTTATAATCTTACTATCATATCATAAGTAACATCTGATAATAAACTGTATTGCTACACCATATTCTTTTTCTTAATTTTTGTCAAAAAGTAAAGTAAAATTAATAAGTAATTACACATATAAATTAATAAAATATCTTTTTTTAGTTTGTATGAACAGTTTATTAATATGAAATTTGAATTGATATAACATAAATTAAACTCTTTTTAAATTGATATAATACCACTGATTTTAAGTAAAATTAAAATTAAAAACATAAAAATAAAGCTTATTATAAAAATTTATGTATAATGCATATTTGCAGTAATTCATTTAACTCCACGGAGCTAGAAAAAAAACTTTTAGAACTAATCATAATTTCCCTCGCTTAAGAAATATTTTTTCAATGTTCTGATTTTTATCAGAACTCATTAATAAGTTATTAAGTTTCGTTAACTTACTTCTGACTAGCCAACTTACCCAGGTAATCCTTAGATGCTTATTACATCATATAAATGTCTATTTTAGTAACTAAAATCTTTAATTCATAATAAATTTTTTATTAATAATTAAATAATTCACTTAACTCCACAGAGATACAAAAAAAAAATTCTAGAACGAATTACAATTCTCCTAGCTTAAGAAATATTTTTTCATTGGTTTCATATTTATTATAACACATTAATAAGATATAAAGTATAATAAGTTTCATCAACTTATTCCTGACTCGCCAACTAACCCAGGTCATCCTTACATGCTTATTACGGTTTATAAAATTTAATTAATATATAATAACAATGATACATATCTAAAGAAAAAACTATTGACATTAAATAATATAAAGTTCAAATTTGATCACCAATTAAACTAATTAATTTATTTGAGAATTTTTAAATTTGTTAAATTGTGTCAAAAATTAACTTATTAAATACTTATTGTCCTTTTTTCTAATACAAATATCATATAAATGTCTATTTTAGTAACTAAAATCCTTAATTCATTATTTTAAATAATAATTAAATAATTGTAAATATAAATAATTATTTAAAATAAAAATTATATTTAAAATATTAGCCACAAGTGATGAATTATTATTATTTTTCAGAAAAATATTTATTTAAAACATTTTTCAAAGGGCATAGGGAATAAACTTGAATATCAATCATAGAAATTGTTAAAAAATCTTATAAATTTTTTTATATTTTAAAAAAAGTTATGATGATTACTTTTGTAATTAAATAATTGATCATTTTTTTTTTTTGTATATTTTTTGAGTAGGTGATCGCGGACATCAGATGAATTTGCAAACAATAAATTTTCCTTCAAAATATCTTTTGCCATATCAATTGATACAGTGCCGTGTCCTATTTGAAATCTAAGAAAGGCGTTATTAAGTTGTTCTTCGTATTGCTTAATCTCTTCAAACTTATTTACAATACGTAATATCAATTCACTATCTAAAGAAATACCAATTATTTCTGTTATTTAAAACATAAAGTAATACTATTTCGCTTCTTAACAAATCTAAGATAGTTATACTAAAGAATTAAAATCTCATTTTTTTAGTNTTTCGCTTCTTAACAAATCTAAGATAGTTATACTAAAGAATTAAAATCTCATTTTTTTAGTCAGCTTGATCAAACAGGACTTATTTCCAATTTTTTTTTTTTTATTATAAGCTAATTCACAAAAAAAAACAAAAATTTAAAAAAATAATTTGTTCATTTATAAAATGTATTATTATTTTATTATTCACCAATTAAAACTTTCACTACTCATTTTTTATTGAAATATAAGATAATAATTTTAATTCCATTTAATTTTTAAATGTTTTCTTTAAAACTACTATACAAAGATTTTTTTTAACATATAACGTGAAATAAAAATAAATCAATATTTTCACTGCAAATTATTATAGAAAAACATAATTCATATTTATAAAAAAAAACCCAGCACAGTGAGGTGGCGACACAGTGGGGTCGTGGCATAGTTGGGTACAGTATAGATGATATCTGACAGTGATTAAAATCACTATGATAAAAAACGCTTCGATGCAAATCTGTAGATAGTGTTTAATTAAAAAAAAAATTTGTTAAAATAGCATATTTTTGAATATGGTAGCCATTTCCGCATAGAAGACAGGTCGTCGGGACAAATTTTTTTTTTTTCACTTTATAGTACATGAAATAAGCTTTAATTTGATATATGTTTAAAGGACGCAGTATTTCCGAAACATTTTCAAAAATCCCCCCGTGGGCAGGTAAAGAGACAAATTTATAAAAAAATATATCAAATGACAAGTAAGAACATTATGTATATATATTAAAAAAAAACTATTGATATGTTTATTTTTGAAAAAGTTACGGCAGTTTTTATTAAAAAAAATTGAAAAAATTTCGAAAATTAGCGATTTTTAAATTTGTAATTTTTTTGGATATTTCCCCCATTTGCGGGGAACGAGGGAATTTTTTTCAATTTTTAAGGGTAATGTCTTCAACTAGATACGATTTGTGATCTTTTGACGTATTTTTGAAAGAAATCGGTCCAGTGAGAGCTGAGAAAAAGTGGCAACAGACATAAAAAAAAAAACACATCATAGTAAAATTAATACCTTCTCCGCTTCGCATCGAAGCTAAAATATGTCATTTTTTCAAATTTATTTAAATATCTATTAAATAAACATTAGTTTACTACATTTTCTTATTGTTTATAATTTTAAAAAAGAAATGTTTAACATTTTTTATACAAAAAATTTTAATAGATCNTTTTTTCAAATTTATTTAAATATCTATTAAATAAACATTAGTTTACTACATTTTCTTATTGTTTATAATTTTAAAAAAGAAATGTTTAACATTTTTTATACAAAAATTTTTAATAGATCGATAAAAATTAAGAATGAGTAATTATTGAGTTACTAGCATTTTAATACATTTAGTTGGTATGTAATGTAGGTGGACACAGCTTGCCCTGGTATATGTTTAAAATGCATACTATAACCGCGTCACAAAGCAACTGTATGTTTTAAAATGTTGGTTACTTAAAAAGTCTCTGCCTTAAGATTGTAATGATAAAAAAAAATTATTTGTATGAAAAACGTAAAAAGTTGTTTATTCTTAAGTTTTGATAAAATCTAAAAATAAAACAGTGTATGAATTTTTTTCACTATTATTATAAACAAATAATAAAAAATATGATTTAAACGTAGTCCATGACTATATTAATTATTAAAAATAAAATTATAAAAATTTTAAGAGTGGTCAGTTTAATCTATTTTGTATAAAATCTACATATAAAAAATTCAATTTCAATTACCTGATATTTTTGGCATCACAATTTTTACTAATGTAGACATATTGTTTTCTTGATTTAACTCAATTTTTTCTTTTCTTTTAAATAAAATTTCTCCATTTTCAACAGAAATATTAAAGAATTGAGACAATAAATGTTGTATGGAAAAAAATGAAAATGGATATAATTTCTAACAAAAATCGATGCTAAATTATTTAAATGTATATGAAAACCAATAGAATAATTGAACTACAATAAAATAATAAATAAATGAAAATGGGATCAAGACAATATCTTAAATCATTTATAACTTTGATGCACAGTTAAGAATATGTTGGTTTTGCCATAAATTTTTATTGACAAAAATAATATATGCGTATCCTGTATTATATCTGTCGATAAAAATTCTTAACTTTCACAGGATTGATTTTCTTAGTTTACAAATTAAAAAAATCCTATTTTATAATTTAATTCATGTTACCAATTCGGAAAATAAAAAAATTTCTTTTAATTTAAACATTTTTAAAAAATATTTCAAAATTATTCTACATGAATTTTGTCATTTAAAATACTTATGTTTAGGATATTTGTTAAAGAAGAGTAGAAATTTTTTTTTTTAATTAGTAATAGGTAGAGTATTATAAAATTTTAAAAATATTCATAATTTTTAGGATAAATGATATATCATTTCATATTTTTGAAATTATTACGTGAGTTTTAGTTAGTCAATTATTTTGTATATTTCTAAATTTTTGCAATTTTCAAGTACTTTTTCAGCATTTCCCTCTATGGAAAAATACATACTAAGCTTATATTAATTAAAAACATTAATAATCTACATAGTAGGGAACACCGAAGAATGACGCGCACTTTAATATCTTCTAAACTAGTAGTAGTTTTTAGTTGTGAGTGAAAAATGAAAAGAAAAAAGGATCATCGGACACAATTCTCATGTGTCATGATAACAATGATATTATTAATTTATTGTTAAAAAACAAAAATGTTACAATAATTATTCTTGTCACATTTGTATACTGTTATAGTAAGTTTTAAATTTAATTATATTCAAAAATTGTTTAACTGAAAGACATAATATTTAAATATATGTGTAGATAATGTTCTTAATTTTTATTTGATTCAATCTTTGTATATTATAATATACACTGAAATTTATGAGCAAGAAATGAGCATTAAAAAAAAATAGTATTTTGGTGTAACACTATACAATTGCTTTAGAGAAATAAGCATACTAATTAATAGGTCTTTGTAAAAATAAGAATATAATTTCAGACTTTTCATCTAGAATAAAAAGAGTAAAAAAGTAAGGAATCAATTTGCGTTTACCATCATTCTGAGTTAATTGATACTTCTTCAATTTTAAAACCCAAAGAAGGGGCTAATAAAGGACATTAAAATAGAGTATTTTAATTCCATTTTACTACATATTTCTACTATGCTTTAGTTTATCTAATTTAAAAGGATTTTAACGATTCCAAAAAAAAATCAATATACTTAAATGCACATTTTCTTTTTAAAAAATATATTTTTTGAAAAAAATAATCAAACCGAAAAAATTTGAATACTATATTGTAATTAAGTTCGCGTCAATTACCCTTTTTATAATATTTTATTTTTTAACTATTTAGATATATATATATATATGTTCTTTTTTAAAAAACCAGGGTTGACAGCCTTAACCATTATGTATGACTTTTTTACATTGTGCACTTGGATTTATCACAAATTTATAAGATAAAGTATTTTTTAGGTAATATAATGAAAAAATGTTTTCATATATACTCTTCTTTGCAAAACTATTAATAGAAAAATTAAATTTTTTCTTAATATCTATAATACTTCACCTCATTTGATGGAATGAAAAAATCTTTTTTTGCTTTGTTACACTACAAAAAAGTAATAAAGTTGTCAATTTGACTACATTAAAGAATTTATAAATATTCAGAACTAGATAATTTTATATCTATCTTACATTACTACACTAAATTGTATATTACGATGGATGCGTATTTAAGTTTTTATTTATATATTTTTTACTAATGATTTATGAACTTAATTTATTTTAATAGTTTTTAAATATGTATATTAGTTTCAAAATACATTTCATGAACAAATTAGAGAACAGCAATAGGTAATCTGCTATCATCATTTTTAGCAAAAATTTTCCTAACTAGGTTCGAAACAAATTTAAAAAACACCTATAGTGGTTTCCAAAAATTTGGTCAGGTATGCAGATGATATTATTACAATTATAAACAGAGACTTTAAAACGGAGGTATTCAAACTTTTAATTTATTTTTATCCATCCATTAAATTCATATACAAACCGGAAATAGAGGGAAAGTTGCCGATTTTGAATTTATTAGTTAAAAAAGTAGGGGGAACTAAATTTTGAAACTTATCAGAAAAACACACACACGTTCAGGTACATTCCGAATAACTATAACGACAGCTGGTAACACAAAATGGCAGCTTTTAATAATATAGTTTTCAGATGAGTTAATACTCCGATGAATAAAATAGATTTTGATAAAGAACTGAGGGTTATAAGAGAAATATATAGATTTAATGGGTATAACAAAACAAAATTTCAAAATTAGTCTGATTACAAAAGTGAAATAAAGAAAGGAGGGCAGCTAGTACATTCACTAGCTTAGGGGAAAAAAAAGTAATTTGAGTACCCATTTTATATTATTCGGACTTTTTAAATAGACTAGATAGAATATAAAAAAATTTTGGTATTACTTTAGTAATATTTAAGAGTATTAATTCAAAATATTTATTAAGTTACTCTAAAGATAAGTAGAATACAGGAAAAAATCGGGAAATTATAAAATACAATATGAAAATCGTAATAAATGTTACGTAGAACAAACAAAAAGAAATATAAGAGTCAGGTTTAATGAACACTTAAGAAACATTAAAAATCAAGAAGTTGGTAAATCTCCTGTGGATGAACATTTATTGACAAATAGTCATTCGTTAAAACCATTACACTAATTAAAAACGTAAATAATTACAATTGACTAATTATAAATGAGGCAGTAAAAATGTTTAAAAAAATTACAATTTAATTAAATGTGAACTAGGTCCACTAAAAAATTGGTTATCAAACTTATGTTAACTGTCAAAATATGTTAATAGTGATAACTTCACCAGGTAATAAGTTCATTATTAGGGTTTTTTGTTTTGGTGAGAGTGTTAGTATGTGTTTAGCGTTGGTAATGATTGTTCCCGAAAAACGTATCAGAGAGTTTTGAGAATTTTTTATGGCTTTTTGAAAACTTTTTTTTTTTAAATTGAAATATACTACTTTTAACAATTCTTAATATTGAAAAATTAACTAATTAATAAAAGACTAATAATACTAATTATTCTAAAAGAAATTAATTTGTATATCTAGACAATAATAGTAAATCTAGACAATAAATATAATATTAATTACTCTTTATATACAGTTATTAATAACCAATCATCCAAAACATGAAGTTGTTATCGATCAGTAATTATAATTATCATAATCAAAAGATTTGAACATAAAATTTATATACACTTCTTTAAAAAAATTATTACTCATGATTAAATTTAAAAATAATATTTTTTTAATATTTGTAACACCTTACCTCATCAGAATAATCAATCACTTTCTTGGGTCTATTTACCTACAAAATAATTTTTTTAAATATTAATTTGACTCTTTGTTTCTTTTAACAAATTCTTTTCTAACAAAATAAAATTTACGCCCTTAACTATTCCGAGAGACTTTTTCACACTGTGCACTTCGATTAACCATAAATGTTTAATTCATAAATTTATATTTATAAGGATTTAAATTTAATAAGGAATTTTTAAGGTGATGAAATGAAAAAAATTTATTCACACATACTCTACATTACAATATTATATTTAAAAAAATTAAATTGAATAATTATTTTTTAATTCTTATAATAATTTATTTAATTTACCTCCATGAGATGTTCTAATAATGCAGTGTTAAGCTGTAAAAAAACATATATTTGTTAATTTTAAAAATGTTATAGTGATATTCAGAACTAAATAATTTCATGTATAATTTAAACTAATATTACTACACTAAATTGTATAATAAGATAAAGACATAATTAAGTTTTTAATGAACTATTTTTTGCTAATGATTTATGAACTAAACCAAGTTAGATAAATTCAGTGTAGAACAAATTTAATAAGTACATTTCAATGCTTCCTTCTTTCATATTAAGGATACGAAATAAATTAAATTATATAGAAGGAAAAACACGTTCTTGGCAATTTTCAACACAAGTTCACTAATTTGGTTTTTAATTTTAATTGTTTACTGACTATATCTAGAGATTTCTAAGATTACCCAAAGGGTAAATTGTTATTCCACGAATACAATATTTTGTAAAAATGTATGAACTCAAATAACCAAAATAGTTTTATCATTTTTGTCTTTAAGCAATATACATCTTTAAGTAAGGGGTTTTGATATGAATTTGATTCAATTTAAAGGCTATAGTAATTTACTGTTCTAAGTTAATTATATTTTATAAGTAGATTATTATGTAGATAAAAGATGTTACTCCAAACTACTAAATATTAGTAATAAATGTATATAAAAATAATAATTAAAATACTTCTTCTAGATCACTTGTACTGAAGCTTGGTGACCCAGTTGAAAACGTAGGTATGGTTATTAAACACATAAAACAAAGTAATATTTCAAAAAAAAAAATAGAAATTCATTTTTAATAATGATTATATATGAATATATAAACGTGAGAAATAATTTTTATTATTAAATTAATTTTGTTTACATACATCATTACCAATATACCATATAACCCCATATACCAAGAAAAGATGCATATTTTCTTTTTCAAATAAAATGTACTTTTTGAAAGAAATAATTAAACTATAAAATATTAAATTTGTTAGACAATTACGAGATGGTTATTATAAAATAAATTTAGGTTTGGAGATTGTACAAATGACAGTGTTCAGTAATATATTGTAAATAAGAGCACGTCAATTCCTTGTACGTAATTCTACTACTCGTGTGAATTTTACTATCAGACAGTTATTCTTTTAGTTTTATAATATTCTATTTGATGAGCTATTCGAATATGTACGTTCTCTTTTAATAAAATAAAGTTAACACCCTTAACCAGTCTAAGAGACTTCTTCATATTGTGCACTTGGATTGTTCATAAATTCGTTATTTCATAAATATATGAAATAAAGAATTTTTTTAAAGTAATGAAATGAACAGAAAAAGAAAAAATAATTTATATTCTCTTTGCAAAATAATATATACAAAAAATAAATTTTTAAATATTTTTTCATAATATCTATTAATTCTATACATCACCTTTTGTCTTGTATCAAATACGAAATCAACGTACTACAAAAAAAAAAAAATTCAGTTGTTAATTTGACTACTTTAAAAGATTTTAGTTATTCAGAACTAAATAATTTCATTTCAAAGTTACATTAATACACTAAAATATATACTAAGATAGAGGCATATTTATGTTTTTACTTATCTATTTTTTACTAATGATTTATAAACATTATATAATTGAAATGTTTCAGTATAGAACAAATTTAACATACATTTTATACTTATATATATATATATATATATACTTGTATATACTTATTTCATTTATATTAAGAATGCGAAATAAATTAAATTACAATGAAAAAAAAAATACGTTCTGAGTAATTTTCAACAGAAGTTCACAAATTTGTTTTTTACTTCTACTTGTTTACCGACTATAACTAGAGATTTGGAAGGCTACCCAAAGTTAAATTTTTATTTCAATTAATTTTGTTATCAGACAGTTATTCTTTTAATTTTATAATATTATATTTTATAAGCTATTTGAATATGTATATTATCTTTTAATAAAATAAAGGTAACATCCTTAACTAGTCGGAGACACTTCTTTACATTGTGTCCTTGGATTGTCTATACAATCATTATTTCATTAATTTATACAATAAAGAATTTTTTAGGTAATGAAATGTACTCTTCTTTACAAAGTTACATATAAAAAAATTTAATTAAAAATTTTTTTCTTAATATCTGTAGCATTTCACCTTATTAAATGGATCAAGAATAGCTCTTATTAATTCATCAGTCTGCAAAACAATTATTATTATTAAATATGACAGCTTAAAAAGTTTATAGATATTCAGAACAAAATAATTTCATATCAAATTTATATTACTACATTAAAATGTATACTAAGATGGAGGTATATCTAAGTATTAACTTATCTATTTTTTACCAATGATTTATTTACTAACTTTTGTATAGATGCAAGTTAAATAGTATCAGTGTAAATTTTACATAAATTTTTATATAATTATTATATTTATAGCGAGAATGCGAATTAAATAAAATTGCATAGAAGAAAAATACGTTTTAAGTAATTTTCGACACAAGTTCACTCTTTTTTTATTTTGCTTTTAATTGTTTATCAACTAAAAATAGAGATTTTGAAGATTACCCAAAGAGAAATTCTTATTTCACGAGTTCGCGGAATAATTTGCAAAAAATAATGAACTCAAAAAGTCGTTACGTCAAGGAATTTGATATCAATTTGAATCAGATTTAAGACCATACTCATTTACTGTTCCAAGTATATTTTACTTAGAAAATATAATATATGTAATTTATTTATTAAACATATAATATAATTTTGGAATATTATATTATTATAAGCTTATAAATTTATGAGNATTTATTAAACATATAATATAATTTTGGAATATTATATTATCATAAGCTTATAAATTTATGAGCAGGTTATCAATTATTATTATGTGTAAAAAGGGCACTCACGCCACTAAACAATAGTAATAAAAACGTATAAACAATAATAATGTCTATAAAAACTTGTTTTCTCACATGTATTCCGAAGCAGGACATTCTATTTGAAAATGTAAGTATGGGTATAAAGCACTTAATATAAAATGATATTCTAAAACAAAAATAGAAATTCATTTTTAATAATGATTATATATGAGCTAGTTATACGTGAAAAATACTTTTTATTATTAAATGAATTTAGTTTATATGGAACAATTCAGTTTATTTAGAAAAATCTAAAATGCGGTAAAACAAATTAATCAATTGTTTTGTGTACATATATTGTGTATTAATACAAATTTTATGTATGTTATTGCAAGTAAATTTTATTTATTCATTCTCGAGTAAAATAAAATTTATTATAAAACTATTGATTGTTTTTAAATAAATACGAAAAGTAATTTAAAATTTAAACAAGTGTAAAATTTATAATTGTATTGTTTTTCTACGTGAAATAGTAAAAGAACAAAAATTAATACGCAATGACGAATATAACAAAAATATAAAAAAATAAAATAATAAAATTTAAATGTGTTAAATGATAAAATGTAATAAAATATGGTTTTCAGTTGGACCAGAAGTCATCACAAGAATATAATAATATTTCAATATATCATTGTTCATTGTCACTATCTATAGGTTCAAGAATATTAATGAAATGAATAACATAGAATTTTAAATAAAATTAAGTAAATTTAAATTTATTTTGGTTTATTATAATATAATACATCATTAGAAATTTTTATTAGCATCTAATAATAATTTGAGGTTACTGTGTGCACATCGTCATTATTGAAAGAGGCACTCATAAATAGATTCCAAATATAAGTTATGCGTATGAACTTGATAAAGAAAAAAAAATTTGCAAAAATTGTCGCTCGACAAGTCTGTAAAAGCTCATGTTTTGTATGAAAACCATGCTAACAGAGAACTAAAAAAATATTCCCAATTACGTGAATGATTTTCCCCAAATAAAGTCATCAAGTTCTTTTATTAAAAATAATTTTTTGAAAATCGTAGAACGTTAAGAAATTTTCCCAGCATTGGCAATTATTCAATGTTTATTAAATAACAAAATTCTTCTTTTATCTCTTATTCATCTCTATATTATTTCTTATTAATAATTGGTATTTTCATTTTATTTTAACAGTATTAGAAAAATAAAAATGTTATTGATAAACCAAAACACATTTTTAAAGCTAGTAATCGTTAAAAATATACTTATTTTTTATAGCGATAGAAAAATAATAATTCAATAGGCGGTTCTTTTATAAATTTAAATAAAATTAAACTTAATCATAAATTAAATCTGTATAAATATAAAAAATATATTTCATAGTTGCAAATAAATTATAATAAAATAAAAATTAATAAATTTAAAATTTAAATAAATGTATAATTTTTTAAATTTACAGATAATAATTTTAAATTCAACCATACTGTAATTAAAATGATAATAACATAAAACAACAAAAACCCAGCACAGGGGGGTCACGGCACAGTGGTGATGTGGCATAGTTGGATCAAATATAATGATATCTGACAGTGATTAAAATCACTACCAAAAAAAAAAACGCTTCGATACAAATCTTTAGATAGTGTTTAATTTTAAAAAATTGGTGGATTATTCCAAAAAGCTACATGATCTGCTATTTTCTTGTTAATATCCTGAATGAAAAAGGGATTATTAAAAAATTTATTTCTCATAAAAAAATTATGTTGATCCATACACTTTTCAATAAGTTATAGCATTGTAAAGTTAAAAATGTAAAAAATAAAATCAAGAATTTTCACACAAAAATAGCATTCGGTAGCCATGTTCACAATGAAGACAAGTCCAGAGGTCAAATTCTTTTTTTCATAATAAAGAACATTACATTAGCTTTAATTTCATATATATGTAAAAGTGTCAGAACTTCCGGAACATTTTCAAAAGTTAATTTTTTGTGAAAAAGTTGTCATTTTATATCCCCCCTGTGGGCAGGTCTAAGGTCAAATTTATAAAAAAAATATACCAAATAATAAAAAAGGCATCAAGCATCTATAAATAAAATTTACTGATACACACATTTTCCAAAAAGTTACAGAATTATTAAGTTAAAAATATAAAAAAGAATTATTTTACAAAAATCGTAATTTTTTATGAATTTTGATGTCTATTTTCACCACGAAGACAAGTCCAGAGGTCAAATTCTTTTTTTCAAATTAAAGTATATTACATTAGCTTTAATTTAAGATATATATAAAAGTGTCAGACCTTCCGGAACACTTTCAAAAGTTAAGTTGAAAAAGTTCTACTTTCTATATGCATTTTTTATATTTGAAGCCCCCCCATATATAGGGAAATAGTCTGATTTAAAAAAAAAGTATATCCAATGAAAGATGTATATAAATACTACTTCTCATGAAAAAATTGTATTGATCCATACATTTTTTAAAAAGTTATAGCACTTTAAAGTAAAAAATGTAAATTATAAAATCGAGAATTTTCACACAAAAATAGCATTCGGTAGCCGTTTTCACCATGAAGACAAGTCCAGAGGTCAAATTCTTTTTTTCATAATAAAGAACATTACATTAGCTTTAATTTCATATATATGTAAAAGTGTCAGAACTTCCCGAACATTTTCAAAAGTTAATTTTTTGTGAAAAAGTTGTCATTTTATATCCCCCCTGTGGGCAGGTCTAAGGTCAAATTTATAAAAAAAATATACCAAATAATAAAAAAGGCATCAAGCATCTATAAATAAAATTTACTGATACACACATTTTCCAAAAAGTTATAGAATTATTAAGTTAAAAATATAAAAAAGAATTATTTTACAAAAATCGTAATTTTTTATGAATTTTGATGTCTATTTTCACCACGAAGACAAGTCCAGAGGTCAAATTCTTTTTTTCAAATTAAAGTATATTACATTATCTTTAATTTAAGATACATATAAAAGTGTCAGACCTTCCGGAACACTTTCAAAAGTTAAGTTGAAAAAGTTCTACTTTCTATATGCATTTTTATGTTTTGAAACCCCCCTGTATTAAGGAAAATAGTTCGATTTAAAAAAAAAGTATGTCAAATGAAAGAAGTATATAAATATTATTTCATGTAAAAAAATTGTATTGATCCATATATTTTTAAAAAAGTTATAGCATTTTAAAGTAAAAAATGTAAAATATAAAATCGAGAATTTTCACACAAAAATAGCATTTGGTAGCCATTTTCATCATGAAGACAAGTCCAGAGGTCAAATTTTTTTTTTTTTCAAATTAAAGTATATTACATTAGCTTAAATTTAAAATATATATAAAAGTGTCAGACTTTTCGGTATACTTTCAAAAGTTAAGTTTCAAAAGTTATCAAGTTGAAAAAGTTGTTATTTAAAATCCCCCCGTGGGCAGGTAAAGAGACAAATTTATAAAAAAATATATCAAATGACAAGTAAGAACATTATGTATATATTAAAAAAAAAACTATATTGATATGTTTATTTTTGAAAAAGTTACGGGAGTTTTTATTAAAAAAAATTTCGAAAATTTCGAAAATTAGCGATTTTAAAATTTGTAATTTTTTTGGAGGTTTCCTCCATTTACGGGGAACGAGGGAAATTTTTTCTNTTTGTAATTTTTTTGGAGGTTTCCTCCATTTACGGGGAACGAGGGAAATTGTTTCAATTTTTGAGAGTAATGTCTTTGACTAGATACGATTTGTGATCTTTTGACGTATCTTTGAAAGAAATCCATTAGGTGACAGCTGAGAAAAAGTGGTAACAGACACAAAAAAAAAACACATCTTAGTAAAACCAATACCTTCTCAGCTTCGCATCGAAGCTAATAAAAAAACTCTATGGTTTAATATATTTGTATGTATTCTTTATGGAATTTCGCTATTCATTTCTAAACTGATTTTAGATTTGTTTTCAACAATTTGTAAAATATTTCAAAAATTAGTTTTTCTGCATACTGTTTTGTAATGGTGTCGTTCATATTATTATCACTATCAAAAATCGCCATAATACTTTACTTTTATTTTACCCCTGTGGTGAAAATAAATATTTTCCAAATGTTCCATCGAGTTCCAATATTCGTTATTACATAAATGTGATGTGATGGAAACACTACTTACTATTTGTAATAAACAAAGAGAAACAACAAATGGAATGGCGGGAAGGGTGTTATAATAAAAAAACAATTAGGTAAGTCATACGTAATATGTTATGTAAATGTCCTACACTCTGTTTGCCCGCACTATAGCAGAGATCAGACTGGCTGGTCGACAACTTTAATGAACACTTTTAATTACTTGTGTAATATAGGTCATTATTTTATAAAACTGAAAACAAAGCATTTTTGTAATGTTTGGTTTAACTATGAATTTCTTAATCTATTATTACAAAAATATAATATAGTCTATTATTTGTAAACCTAGAAGTAGAACACTTATGTAATGTTTAGATTAATTGTAATTCCCCAAATTATTGTTACTAAACCAAGAAGTAAATATTTATAAACATTTTTGAAAATTATGGCATTATGAATCTCTTGATCTATTATTACTAAAATATAATATAGTCTATTATTTGTAAACCTAGAAGTAGAACACTTTTGTAATGTTTGGATTAATTGTAATTCCCCGAATTATTGTTACTAGATCAGGAAGTAAATATTTATAAACCTTTTTGAAAATGATTACTATATGAATTTTATAAAAAGACAAACAAAATATTTTAGTATATAAGATGAAACGGAATGAATTAGAAGAGAGGAAGAGAAGACCTCGGGAGTACCGAAGGTAATCTCTTTCCGTGTGGTACGTTTGTGACTTTAAGTTTTTATTTTGTGTATTATTTATTTATCCGTTTTTTAAGTGTATCAATATTTTATATGTTTTTATTTTGATTGATTATATCTTTATTAACTATATTTTGCGTTATTATTGAACTACTAAAAATATAAGTTAGAACAAAAGATTGTTCTACATAAATTAAATACAACACTTGAAACCTCGACTACGATACTATTATGATAGTACTCCGTCCAGCCAAGTTATGATGCTTTAATAAGTAATAGAATACAATGCAATCTAATCAAGTTTTTTTTGTGTTAAGGTATATAATAAAAATAAATAATTTAAAATATAAAACGTATTACCAATACGTTTTATATGTTGAAATATTTATATCACCAAAAAATGATCTCTG